CAACCAGCAGGACAAAGAGGGCTCTCTGCCTTTTCTTGAACTGCATGCTTTATAGGGTTACATTAATGCTGAGAATTAAAATAGTATTATTATTACAATGTTAAGATAATATCCCATTCCCAAAGCAAATATTTGACACCAATCACTGCATATCATGAGTAAACTAAGGGCTGATTTTCTTTCTTTTCGTTGCTGAGGAAAGACTCATGGCATAGGCTCCAGTCATCTTTCTGATAGTGTCAGACTCTTCATTTCAAAATAAGGAAATAACAGTCCAAGAGAAGTTACCAATTTGCTCATTTTCCCATAGCAAGATACTGATTTGTGCAACCCAAAATAGGACCCAGGCCTCCTAATTCAGTGTCTTCCCTCCCCCATCCTCCCTCCACACTGAACACAATCCCCTCCTAATTTAATTGGTAGTGATTATGCCAGGGGTCTTAAACAGTTCACCTCTCAGCTTCTTATGCTGGGATTTAATTAGGTCATTAGCTAAGGCACATCACAGTGTACTTACTCAAGCCCAGATATGATTGAAATGGAAAAATTGGTGACTAGTACCTACTCTTAGCTGTTTTTTTTTAGAGGGGGGAGTCTTTTATTGTTTTAAAATGCTTCGGAACAATACCACTTGGGATAGGCAAAGCATGTGAGATACTCTTTCCACCTTTAGACCAATATTGTGAATGCCAGAAAGGCCAGTGATGCAGCTGACTTCTAATTGGAATTGGAACTCACAGCTTTTGACTCCTAATGTAGTGCTCATGAACATCACACCCTGGAGCTGACACCTGGGAAGCACAAAGCAGGATGTCTTGAAGACAAGAAAACTTAATAGAACGTGGAATATAATTGGCCCAATTAGGAAGGGATATGGGGTAAGCTGAGATTTCTTGATATTATTGAAGAAGTGGCAACCTACACTTTTAGATTTTTGAATTGTTTGGTTGGATGGTGACATCATTTTCAAGGGAGCTGTCTTTTAGAGTAATATCTGAAGAGGTAGAGGTGATGATCAAGAATTAGTTCTATTTAAAGTTAATGAAACTTCAATTCTACAGAGATCTATTTTCATTAATTTGAAAAATATTACATTATAAAGATCCAGATATGTGCTAATAACCAAAATAAGATAAACTAGTAAAAATAATTGCACATAAACCTAGAATTTATATTAGTTTCTTCATTGAAATTGTTCCATTCTACTTTGCAGTTTTCTATTTTAAAATACTGAAATTTAGGGCAAACTCTACATGAAACAGATAATTATCTACTAGGAATTTTAGTATCTCTTCAATTTACCATAAAAGGATATGCTGTTCCAGCACACACTATTCTTTTTTTTTTAATGTATCATTGATGTACAATCTTACGAAGGTTTCACATGAACATCACTGTGGTTTCAACATTCACCCATATCATCAAGTCTCCCCTCCCCCACCCCATTGCAGTCACTATCAGCATAATAAGATACTATAGAGTCATTACTTCTCTTCTCCGTTCTATACTGCCTTCCCATGACCTACCTATATTGTGACTGCAAATTATAGTGCCCCTTAATACCCTTCTCCCTCCCTCCCCACTCACCCTCCCCAATCCCTTCCTTTTGTTAACCACTAGTCCCTTCTTCAAGTCTGCGAGTCTGCTGCAATTTTGTTCTTTCAGTTTTGCTGTGTTGTTATTTTCCACAAATGAATGAAATAATTTGGTCCTTGTCTTTCTGCACCTGGCTTCTTTCATTGTGCATAATACCCTCTAGCACCATCCATGTTGTTGCAAATGGTAAGATTTGTTTTCTTCTTATGACTGAATAATATTCCATTGTATATATGTACCATATCTTCTTTATCCATTCATCTACTGATGGACACTTAGGTTGCTTCCATTTCTTGGCTATTGTAAATAGTGCTGCGATAAACATAGGGGTGCATATGTCTTTTTGAATCTGGGATGTTGTTTTCTTTGGGTAAATTCCCAGGAACGGAATTCCTGGGTCAAATGGTATTTCTATTTTTAGTTTTTTGAGGAACCTCCATATTCCTTTCCACAATAGTTGAACTAATTTACATTCCCACCAACAGTGTAGGAGGGTTCTGCTTTCTCTGCATCCTCACTAGCATTTGTTCCTTGTCTTTTGGATGTTGGCCATCCTAACTGGTATGAGGTGATATCTCATGGTGTTTTTAATTTGCATTTCTCTGATGATTAGCAATGTGGAGCATCTTTTCATGTGCCTGTTGGCTGTCTGAACTTCTTCTTTGGATAAGTGTCTGTTCATATCCTTTGCCCATTTTTTAATAAGGTTATTTGCTTTTTGGGTGTTGAGGCATGTGAGCTCATTATGTATTTTGGATGTTAACCCCAAATCAGATATGTCTTTTATGAATGTATTCTGTCATACTGTAGGATGCCTTTTTGTTCTGCTGATGATGTCCTTTGCTGTACAGAAGCTTTTTAATTTGATGTAGTCTCATTTGTTCATTTTTACTTTTGTCTCCCTTGCCCAAGGAGATGTGTTCAGGAAAAAGTTGCTCATGTTTATGAAAAAGTTGCTTATGTTTATATTCAACATAGTTTTGCCTGTGTTTTCTTCTAAGAGTTTTATGGTTTCATGACTTACATTTACGTCTTTGATGCATTTTGAGTTTACTTTTGTGTATGGAGTTAGACAATAATCCAGTTTCATTCTCTTACATGTAGCTGTTCTGTTTTCCCAATACCATTTGTTGAAGAGGCTGTCATTTCCCCATTGTATATCCATAGCTGCTTTATCGTATATTAGTTGGCCATATATGTGTGGGTTCATATCTGTGCTCTCTGTTCTGTTCTGTTGCTCTATGGGTCTGTTCTTGTGTTAGTACCAAATTGTTTTGATTGCTATGGCTTTGTAGTAGAGCTTGAAGTTAGGGAGCATAATCACCCCAGCTTTGTTCTTCCTTCTCAGGTTTGGTTTAGCTATTCCAGGTCTTTTGTGGTTCTATATGAATTTTAGAACTATTTGTTCTAGTTTGTTGAAGACTGCTGTTGGTATTTTGATAGGGATTGCATAGAATCTGTAGATTGTTTTAGGCATGATGGCTATTTTGACAATATTAATTCTTCCTATCCATGAGCATGGGATGTATTGGTGTGTTCTTTAATTTCTCTCATGAGTGTCTTGTATTTTTCAGGGTATAGGTGTTTTACCTCCTTCATTAGGTTTATTCCTCGGTATTTTATTCTTTTTGATGCAATTGTAAATGGAGTTGTTTTCCTGTTTTCTCTTTCTGCTAGTTCATCATTAGTATATAGGAATGCAACAGATTTCTGTGCATTAATTTTGTATCCTGAAACTTCAGCACATACCATTCTATTTGCCTTCTCCACTCTATCCTCTTGTATTACTTATGTCTGTTACCCTAGAAATCCTGTGTTCATTGCAGTTTGATTATGGATTGCCCTAACACCAACACTCTTAGGGAGAAAAGAAAATAACTGCCTGAATTAATGTATTCTAAGTCACTAATGAAGAGAAGTGACGACACTGTTGATTACTGATCTAAAAACCATTTTACTTTCTTTTTCCTTGAAAAGAGAACCCCAACTTTATGCAGTACTATTACACTCAGTTCCTAGAGGTGAATCATAGTCTAAGATACTCATGGTAATATTCTTCCCTTTCATAATCTATAGTAATGTGTCTTCTCATTGATATTAGTAATTTATATCTTTTCTTCCTGATCAGTCTGTCTAGTGATTTATTTTTTATCTCAAAGAATCTGTTTGGTTTTATTTTTTGTTTGTTTATTTCTATTTCACTGAATCCTCCTTTATTAAGCCCTGTCTTCTGCTTCAGTTGGGTGTTTACTGGTCTTCTTTTTCTAGTTCCTTAAAATAGAAGGTCAGATTTTTTATTTCAGACTTTCTTCTTTTCTAATTGTGTATGATTTGCATCCTTTGAAATTTTTTGATATTTGGTTATGGCCCAGAATATGATATATTGGTAAATATTCCATGTGCACATGAGAAGAATGTACCTCTAAAGAATATATTTTAAAGTGTTTTCTGTTCTTGAGTATTATTTCTTCATTTTCTTCCTCTTTCTTTTCCTTATTTTAACAAATAATACCACACTGGATGCCTGCAGAGAGGAGAGCTGTGTGGTTTTGAACTGTGTGAATAAATTTCCTATTCAGAAAATTTACATATTTTGAAGTTATAAAAATAATTGAATTATGGAGGTGGCCAAGCACAAAAGCTCTATATACACATACATACATACATACATACATACATACATACATTCATAAAACAGTATCATCAAGAGCCCAAAATTAGGAGGAGTTCTTCGAAGACAGGAAAAGCACATGCTGTAAGATTGGCTAATTCAGGAACATGAATACCTGCAGTAGAAAATCAAACAATATTCAGAGAAGCTTAAAGAACAGTCAAAATTGAATCCTGCAGAAGGTCCTAGGTTAACTGTGAGATGAAAGAGCTACTCTGTGAACAGATGTCCCCAATACCCACCAACACTTGGAAGAAAACCCTTGATGTATGCGACCTCCTGTAAACTCTCAAAACCACACTCCAAAGACAGTGAATAGTTTGAGACAAATGCATACCTTCACAGTGGAAGGGAAGCAACAGATGCCCACATCTACCTAGAAAGAAAAAAAATTAGTCCTCCCTCTTCAGAAATGCCATGTTTATTTTGGCAATAGGGAGGGTCCCTATCCTACCTGCAAGCACCATGCCATGTACCCCAAAGGAAAACACCACTCCCTAATTGACACACTCTGCCCTCCCATCCCAAGGAGAAGCCTGTTACTGAAATGGACATCAAAGCTGTAGCTCAGATCCATGCTAATTACCTAGGCTAATCAAAAGTGCCCTTTACTGTTAAATATGAATGCACAAATATTAGCCAGGTATTTGAGGAAAGTAAAAGGGATCATGATGAACAAGCAGAAGTGTTTCTTGGGGGAAAATAATATGTTATAGGAAACCGAAGAACTTTACCAAAAATTCAAGTTTATATTTTCACAATTTTAAAAGATGATGAATTTATAACAGGTGACAAAAAGAAGGTATTGAATAGAGAACAAGAGAAAGTATTTGGAAAATAGATATGATATTGCAAAATTAAAAACTTACTAGATACCAGGTGCTCAGCACAGTCACCCTGCTCACAGGGTTCTAACAGAACCTAAACACAGCTCACCAGCCACCCTGGCCCACTGACCCTGGACCTGAGCTTCCCACCCACTGACCTGTAGTGGACCCCGCTTCTGGTCCCATCCATGAGCTGCCCTCAGGCCAGAGCCCACCTAATGGCTCCCCGCTAGCCTACTCCGATGACGCCCATGGGTCCCCGCCATTGACTTGGCCTCTGGCCACCCTTGCTGCCCACCATGGGGATGCTCCGAGGCCACTGCCACCTGCGGCCCCACCGCCAGCTATCACGTGCTGCCTTCACCTTCCTGCTGGTGCCACCAACCATGTCCGCTCCGCCACCATGGCAGGTGCACCAGAACTACGACCCCAACTGCAAGGCCACTGTCAACAGGCACATCAACCTGGAGCTGCACGCCTCCAACATGTACCTGTCCACGGCCTTCTACTGGGAGCACAACGACATGGCCTTGGAGCGTTTTGCCCAGTTCTTCCTGCGCCAGTCCCATGGGGAGAGGGAGCCCACTGAGAGGTTGGTGCACCTGCAGGACCAACATGGGGACCGCCTGCACCTCCGTGACATAAGGACGCCCGACTGAAATGACTGGGAGAGCAGCCTGAGGGCCGTGGAGGGCACCTTGGTCCTGCAGAAGCGCGTGAACCAGAGCCTGCTAGATTTGCACTGCCTGGCACCGCCGAGGGAGACGTGCACCTGTGAGTTCCTGCACCGTCACCACCTGCACCACCAGGTCAAGGCCATCGAAGAGCTGAGGGACCATCTCGCCAGCCTGCACAAGATGGAGGCCCCAGAAGCCAGCCCTGCATAGTACCTCTTTGACAAGCTCACCCTGGACAACAGTGACAAAACTGAGGGGACTGCCTTCCCCATAGCCATGGGCAGTTCCCCCTGGTCACTATGCCGAGCGGTCTTATTGCATGACTGCCCTTGCAAAGCATCCACTTCAGTTTTTCCTTCCAGTATTGCCATTTCTCCCAATGAAGTTATTTGGTTCCTAATAAATAAAGGTCTCTGGTTGATTATGTGTGCTAAACCCTCCTCTTTTAAGTTTTAAAACAAGTCTACAGTCGTCTGTCCACCCACCCATGCTCCATCCATGGGTGGTTCAGGATCTGCGTAGATGGAGGGAGGTGTTCACAGACCTGGGAGAACATAAAATTCATGTTCTCTTTATAAATGAGGGCGGGTAGGGGAAGTGTCCGGGATGAGGGCCCTGGTGAAGGTGGGTGCAGGTACATGGTGAAAGTATAAAAATCCATGGTCTAGAATTCATCACAGTGCTTGCCTCTAAGGAAGAAGTGAATTGTGGAATTGGGTGGGGATTAAAATACAGGGAGTATTCAACTTTAAGTGTTTTAGCTCATTAAATTTTGCAAATTTTAATGTGTATTGTTTCTTAGTAACAGTGAGGAGAGGTGGGGCTGGAAACTGGCATAGTGGAGTAACTGTGGGGCAGGTTCATCCTTGTCAGTGATTATGGAAACTGTGCCTTAGCCTGGCTTCTCTGTAGACACAGGTGTGACTTCACATGGTCACCAGTGCCAGACAGCCATGTTGCTATTATAAAACCTCTAGTTAGATTTTTCTTTTATGTACAATTTCTACTAGTAATTTGGTATAAGAAGAAAACCCTATATAAATAATATATATGTTACATATCCTATAAACATTGAAAATATAACAGTTTTGAACATCAAAATTTTGATAATAATTATAAAGCAGATTGAATCTCCCTGAGAAGAACCTTGCATGATAACCAAAAATCACTCACTTGAAATTCCAGGAGGGGGAAGCAGGTTGTGTAGAGAGGGGAGGTAATAATCAAAAATAGTTTTTAAAAATACTATAAACCAAATACTAGTCCCATATTTTTCTCCTTTAACCTACTGATGTTCTCAATTACATTAGATTCTCCTATGTGGAATTATTTCTTTATTCCTGGATGGAATAAAACTTATTTGGTCACTGTTAATTTGCTACAGTTTTTTTATATATACAACTGATATATAACATTGCGTAACTTTAAGGTGTACAATGTGTTGATTTAATACACTTACATATTGTGAAATGACTGCCATCAAAGCCTGAGCTAAAACTTGCATCACCTCACATAATTACCATTTCTTTTTGGTGGTGATTCCATTAAAGATTTACTCTCTAAGAATATTCAAGTATATAATACAATATTGTTAACTATAATGACCATGCTGTACATTAGGTACTCTAAGTTTGTATCCTTAAATCAACATCTTCCATTTCCCCCAACCTTCAGACTCTGGTAATCACCATTCTCTTCTGTTTCTGCTCATTTTTTAATCGGGTTATTTGTTTTTTGGGTGTTGAGGCATGTGAGTCCTTTATATATTTTGGATGTCAACCCCTTATTGGATAAGTCATTTATGAATATATTCTCCCATACTGTAGGATGCCTTCTTGTTCTACTAATGGAGTTCTTTGCCGTACAGAAACTTTTTAGTTTGATTTGTTCCATTTGTTCATTTTTGCTTTTGTTTCCCTTGCCTGAGATGTGTTCAGGAAAAAGTTGCTCATGTTTACATTCAAGATAGTTTTGTCTATGTTTTTTCTAAGAGTTTTATGGTTTCTTGACTTACATTCAGGTCTTTGATGCATTTTGAGTTTACTTTTGTGTATGGAGTTAGACAATAATCCAGTTTCATTCTCTTACATGTAGCTGTCCAGTTTTCCCAGCACCAGTTGTTGAAGAGGCTGTCATTTCCCCATGGTATATCTATAGCTCCTGTATCATATTAATTTGTCATATATGTGTGGGTTTGTATCTGGGCTCTCTATGCTGTTCCATTGCTCTATGGGTCAATTCTTGTGCCAGTACCAAATTGTTTTGATTACTGTGACTTTGTAACAAAGATTTAAGTTAGGGGGCTTAATTGCCCCTGCTTTTTTCTTCCTTCTCAGGATTGGTTTGGCTATTTGAAGTCTTTTGTGGTTCCATAGAAATTTTGGAACAATTTGATCTAGTTCATTGAAGAATGCTGTTGGTATTTTGATAGGGATTGCATTGAATTTGTAGATTGCTTTAGGCAGGATGGCTATTTTGATAATATTAATTCTTCCTGTCCATGAACACAGGCTATATGTCCATTTATTAATGTCTTTATTTCTTTTATGAACGTCTTATAGTTTTCAGGGTATAGGCCTTTTACCTCCTTGGTTAGGTTTATTCCTAGGTATTTTATTCTTTTTGATGCAATTGTAAATGGAGTAGTTTTCCTGATCTTTCTTTCTCCTAATTTGTTGTTAGTATATAGGAATGCAACAGATTTCTGTGTATTGATTTTGTATCCTACAACTTTGCCAAATTCACTTACTAGTTCTAATAGTTTTGGGGTGGATTCTTTAGGGATTTTTATGTACTACAATATCATGTGATCTACAAACAGTAATAGTTTAACTTCTTCCTTACTAATCTGGATGCCTTTTATTTCTTTGTGTTGTCTGATTGCCATGGCTAGGACATCCAGTACTGTGTTGAATAAAAATGGTGAGAGTGGGCATCCTTATATTGTTCCCAATCTTAGAGAAAAAGCTTTCAGCTTTTCACTGTTAACTATGATGGCTGTGGTGTTGTTGTATATGGCCTTTATTACGTTGAGGTACTTTCCCTCTATACACATTTTGTTAAGAGTTTTTATCATGAATGGATGTTGAATTTTGTCAAATGCTTTTTCAGCATCTATGGAGATGATCGTGTGATTTTTGTACTTCTTTTTGTTGATGTGGTGTATGATGTTGATGGATTTTTGAATATTGTACCATCCTTGCATCCCTGGAATACATCTGACTTGATCATGATGATGTTTTTTATGTATTTTTTAACTCGATTTGCTAATATTTTGTTGAGTATTTTTGCATCTATGTTCATCAGGGATATTGGTCTGTAATTTTCTTTTTTTGTGCTGCGTTTACCTGGTTTTGATATTAGAGTGATGCTGGCCTCATAGAACGAGTTTGGAAGTATTCCTTCACCTTCTACATTTTGGAAAACTTTAAGGAAGATGGGTATTAGGTCTTCACTAAATGTTTGGTAAAATTCAGCGGTGAAGCCATCTGGTCCAGGCATTTTTTTCTTAGGTAATTTTTTGATTACCAGTTCAGTTTCATTGCTGGTAATTGGTCTGTTCAGATTTTCTGTTTCTTCCTGGGTCGGTCAGTCTTGGAAGATTGTATTTTTCTAGAAAGTTGTCCATTTCTTCTAGGTTATCCAATTTGTTAGCATATAATTTTTCATAGTATTCTCTAATAATTCTTTGTATTTCTGTGGTTTCCATAGTGATTTTTCCTTTCTCATTTCTGATTCTGTTTATGTGTGTAGACTCTCTTTTACTCTTGATAACTCTAAGGGTTTATCTATTTTGTTAATTTTCTTGATGAAATAGCTCCTGCTTTCATTGGTTCTTTATTTTTTTTTTATTAAGGTATTACTGATATACACTTGTATGAATGTTTCACATGAAAAACAATGTGGTTACTACATTCACCCATATTATCAAGTCCCCACCCATACCCCATTGCAGTCACTGTCCATCTGTGTAGTAAGATGCCACAGGTTCACTATTTGCCTTCTCTATGCTATACTGTCTTCCCTGTGACCCCCCACACCATGTGTACAAAACATAATACTCCTGAATCCCCTTATCCCTCGCTCCCCACCTGCCCTCTCCCACCCCTCCCCTTTGGTATCCACTAGTCCCTTCTTGGAGTCTGAGTCTGCTGCTGTTTTGTTCCTTCAGTTTTGCTTTGTTGTTATACTCCACAAATGAGGGAAATCACTTGGCACTTGTCTTTCTCCGCCTGGCTTATTTCACTGAGCATAACACCTTCTAGCTCCATCTATGTTGTTGCAACTGTTAGGATTTGTTTCTTTCTTATGGCTGAATAGTATTTCATTGTGTATATGTACCACATCTTCTTTATCCATTCATCTACTGATGGACACTTAGGTTGCTTCCATATATTGGCTATTATAAATAGGGCTGTGATAGACATAGGGGTGCATATGACTTTTTGAATCTGAGATCTTGTATTCTTTGGGTAAATTCCTAGGAGTGGGATTCCCAGATCAAACAGTATTTCTATTTTTAGTTTTTTGAGGAACCTCCATATTCTTTCCACAATGGCTGAACTAGTTTACATTCCCACCAGCAGTGTAAGAGGTTCCCCTTTCTCTTCATCCTTGCCAGCATTTGTTGTTCTTTCATTGGTTCTTTCTATTATTTTATTCTCAATTTTATTTACTTTTGCTCTGAACTTTATTATGTCCCTCCTACTTTAGGCCTCATTTTTTTCTTCTTTTTCTAGTTTCATTAATTGTGAGTTTAGACTATTCATATGGGATTATGATTTCCTGAGGTAAGATGGTATTGCAATATACTTCCCTCTTAGCACGGCCTTTGTTGCGCCCAACAGATTTTCTGGTGTTGAGTTGTTGTCATTTCTTTCCATGTATTGCTTGATCTCTGTTTTTATTTGGTCACTGATCCATTGATTATTTAGGAGCATGTTGTTAAGCCTCCATGTGTTTGTGGGCTTTTTTGTTTTCTTTGCATAATTTGTTTCTAGTTTCATACCTGTGTGGTGTGAGAGGCTAGTTGGTACAATTTCAATCCTTCTGAATTGACTAAGGTTCTTTTTGTGGCCTAGTATATGATCTATTATTGAAAGTGTTCCATGTGCACTTGAGAAGAATGTGTATCCTACTGCTTTTGGGTGACATGTTCTGTAGATGTCTGTTAGGTCCATCTGTTCTAATATGTTGCTCAGTGCCTCTGTCTCCTTACTTATTTTCTATCTGGTCGATCTGTCCTTTGGAGTGAGTAGTGTGTTGAAGTCTCCTAAATCGAATGTACTTCATTCTATTTCCCCTTTAATTCTGTTAGTATTTGTTTCATATATGCAGGTGCTCCTGTGTTGGAAGCATAGATACTTATAATGGTTATATCCTCTTGTTGGACTGACCCCTTTATCATTATGTAA